GGGGGGGGGGGGGAGATTATATATATATATTTCTGATTTATCAATGCTCCCCTCTGCTGTTTATATCTTTTAAGAAACTCTTCCCTGTTCAAGTCAGAGATGTTTGTGTTCTTACTTCGCTGACCAAGAACTTAAGTGTTACTGCCACCATTGTTTAACATACATCAGCTGGATGTGGTGACACACTCCTGTAATTGCAGCACTTAGAAGACTGAGGCAAGAGAATCATGTTTGAGGGCAGCCTGGGCTACATAGTGAGTTCAAGTCCAGCCTGCATTATATTGCAAAACCTTGTCTAATAATGATATACAAATTTAACATCAGAAGTATAATGTGCATATATATATATTTGTGTGCAAAAGCATATGTAGGGGCTGGTGAGATGGCTCAGTGGTCTAAAGCACCTACTTAGAACAAGCTTAGCAAAGCATAGGGACCACGGTTCAATCCCCCAGCACCACATGCCAGCCAGCGCTGCCCCCTGGTGGGCTGAGCTGGCCACACACACACACACACACACACACACAAATCAAAACAAATTAAATCAAATCAAATCAAATCAATAAATAAAATTTAAAAAAAAGCACATGTAAAGTTCAGGAATGTTACAAACCAAATTTTTTCCGGGGATTTCCTCTAGGTAGAACGGTGGGCTTCATAGTGAAAGTAACTACTATTAGATTATTATTTCCCAATGATCTTTCTCCCTATATCGTTTATTCTCAAAGTTTAATTTGATTAAACATAATGTTGCATTCAAATTTGTTCCTTTATCTTCCCCTTCATGAGTTTCTGTGAAGTATTTTTCCATTTGTCTCCCTTTCTAACAAAATCATATTATTTATTTATCTTGCTCAATGTATGATTTTTACGCTTGGATGGTGTGAATTTATATAGATTACCCATCTGTTGCTCTATTTTAGCAAAGACTTCAATAGACACAGGTAAGCTTCCTTCACATTATTGTTTTCCAAGTACAGGTTATCTGACATGTGATTTCTCAGTCAAGAGGTATTCACCATTTTAAGGTCTACTGAAAAGCAGTGATCAATTTCTTTGTAAAAGGAGTATGCTAATTTCTTTCAATTTCTCCAAATGTTGCATCCTGGCTGCTGTGCATCGTTCAAGTGCATCATAACTTAGCGTGGATTTTTGCACTTGGCTGGCATCTGCTCTCCTTGCTGAGCCTCCATGCTCCATGTGGCCTGACACTGCCTATCTGCCACTGAATCCCCAGTGCCAGGGTTACTCAATATGCACTAAGTAAACTTGTACAAGAACATTTCAATATTATGCATATTTATTTTTTTCTTTTACAGACAGGGTCTCACAACGCAGTTCAGGTTGGCCTGTGTCCACTTCAGCAGCCTCAGGTTAATCTCAGACTTGTAGTGATTCTCCAATTTTAACCTCACGAGTGCTAAAATTACAGGTGTGTGCCACCATGCCTGTCCGGTTCCTTAAATTTTGCACTATACACTTAGATTTGCACTACACTTCAAGAATTGGAATAAATTATTTGAACAAAACATTTCATAGTCTTACTCTGATGTTTATTAAATATTAAGTTATAATGAATTTGTTATGTCCATAAATTTGGGGATTTGGGTTTCTTCCCTTTTTATATTCCCTACTTTTTT